GGCGTGCAGACAAGTTCATGATAAGTACCCCATTGTGAACTGTAACACACTGGAAGTTAACCAAAAGCCGTCTACACAAGATAGGTTGACTACAAAGGCCAGGAAACAAAAGTAATCAAATACACCGATCTTGGGGAGATGAGACCATGTGTTGTCCATGCAGCATTATCGCTCTCTCGCCCTGCTCTGTTAACTCCAAAAGGAACAGTGACACCAACACATTCAGAAGCCAAGCACCAGCAACAAAACAGCGAATACCCACAGAAACAGGAAAATAAGAAGACCAGACCTCACCAAGACAACACCAAACATGGAAGACCAACAAACAGGAAATCAGGTGTAACTGTAAACCACAAAGAACTGAAACAAGACAGCAAATAAAATCCTCATCAATATAACAGGGCGTCTAGCCAGTTGAACAAGGAGCAAATTTGGGACTTTTGTTTCCTACGAAATTGAATCGAAAACATTTAGAGCAAATAATGACGTAGAAGCTACCCAGTTAGGTAAGCAGTGCTTTGTCTGCCTGCCTGTCGAAGTTTAACAAATTCTGGAGATGCTTCTCAGGGCTTCTATTTGCACTTCTTCTTCTTCTGTCAAAATCTGCTTGTGCCGCTAGGCGTCGCAGTCTATCAGATGATCGGCAACCGAGCCAGGGCGCGCTCAGTCGCTTCATATGCCGTGATGTTATGAAGTCTCAAGTTGTCCGTGACTCCTTCAATCCATCTTCTTCTTGGTCTTCCCCTGCCTTTTGGTGTTTCGATTTTCATGTTGTATGCTCTTGATGCTGGCATCGTTGGTTCCATTCTCATTAGGTGACCAAACCATTTCATTCTTTGCTTCTCAATAAATTTAACGATGGGTATGGTTCCAATAGTTCTTGTAATCACATCGTTTCTCACTCGATCTCTTCTGATTTTATTCGCAGCCATTCTCAAACATCTCATTTCACAGGTGGTTAGTCTTCTCTCGTGTTCTTTTGTTAATGTCCAAGTCTGACATTGATAACCTAATGTCGGTATAAAGATTGTATTTATAATTTGTCTTTTTATCTCAGCTGGGACAGCAGGGTGTTTTAAAATTGGGGCAAGCTGGTATGCGACATTGTTGGCTTGTTGGATTTTTGCTTCGATCTCTCTGTCTATTTTACCATTGAATGTAAAGATACTTCCCAAGTATTTAAATTCTTGCACTTGTTTTAGGCTGTGATCTAGAATCTTTATGTCGATGGTCTGTTGCTCTCTACTTATGCTCATGACTTCTGTCTTTTCAGTATTGATCTTCATATGATGCTTGAGGCAACTGTCGTGTAGTAGGTTTATGTGGTCTTGCAGCTGTTTACTATCACTGTGAAATATGCATTGATCGTCGGCAAAGAGCAGCTCATTGAAGTCCTCCTGTTTATCGACATCTGTTGGTGTTATGTCTATTTTATTAATATTGTCCATAAATATTATGAAAAGTAAAGGTGATAATACACAACCTTGTCTTACTCCTGATGTTACTGGGAACCAGTCTGTGATGCCAGCTTTTGTTCTAATGGCGCTTTCACTTTGTCTATAAATAGCCCTAACACAATCTAAAATTGTTCCATTTATACCGTAGTTTTCAAGAAACTTTCCATAATAAATTTCTGTTTACTCTATCGAAAGCTTTTTCTTGATCTATGAAAGCGATGTTCATTTGATGTCTGTGTTCTATTGTCTTTTCGCTAACTTGTCTTAAAGCAAAAATAGCGTCAGTACACCCTCTTCCTTTCCTAAATCCGACCTGTGATGGGCTCAGGATCGGTTCTACAACGGATCTAATTCGTTGTTCCAGAATTTTGGCAAACATTTTTCCTACGTGGCTTAGAAGGGAGATGCCTCTGTAATTGTTACAATCTTGCTTATTGCCTTTTCTTTTCCAAATTGGGACTATAAGGGCTTTTTGCCAGTCTATTGGTACAGTTTTCATTCCAGGCTTTCCTAAATATGTGGAGTAGCCAGGTGACTCCAATTTCTCCACAAGCCTGTATTGCCTCGGCTGATATTCCATCAACAGCTGATGCCTTATTTTTGGGACTGCATCTGATTGCTTCTCTGACTTCATGTTCGATTATTGTAGGCTGTTCCTCATTTGTATATCTGGGTGTGAATGGTACTGTTTCCTCATTTCCTGTTACATTCAGAAGAGTCTGAAAATATTCTTTCCACCTTTCTCTGATCTTGCCCTCCTTGACTATCGTTGACATATTCAGATGGCTGGAATGGTTCATCTCTAGTTCTCATTTTTGCAATGGTTTTGTAAAACTGTCTACTAGATTTAGCACAGATTTTGGTAAGATTTTCCCCATACATGATCCAGGATGTTTCCTTGGATTGTTTAATTTCTCTTGCAGATTGTCGCCTGGCAATTCTGTACTTGATATAATCATCTGAGCGGGATCTTAGCCATTTCTTGTATTGCTCCTTTTTACATTTCACTGCTTGTTTTACGTTATCATTCCACCATGCTGTTTTTTTCCTGAACGTTCCTCCTGTGTATCTAATACCACAGAGTGTTGTTAGGCAGTTCAGAAGAGTGTTCTTAAATTTTTGCCACGCAGCTTCCACATTGTCACTTGATGTTATTAGCTCAGCCATCTTCTCCGTCATTTCTGCCTGTACTTTTGCTTAGTTGTCTAGATTGCTTAGGTGTCTTATGTCAATCATTGAGGTACGTACTGATCTTTTTGGTTTTTTGTTAATTGTTGCTTCGCTTAGATATACGATCAGCGGTCGATGGTCTGTATTTAAAGAGATGTTAGGAATTACTCTTGCGTCCTTTACTAAGCTTCTTCTCTTTTGTCAATTTAGTATGTAGTCCAACTGTGCTGCCTGGTCTGGGTTGCTCCATTTATACCAGGTGTTTATTTGGCTTTGTCGATGGCGATAGAAACTATTGGTGACATAAAGGCCATGCTCTGCACAAAGTTCTAAAATACGCTGCCCGTTGTAATTGCAGACTTTGCTGTTGTCTGAGTGTGGCCCGATTTATTCCTCCCATGGTGTTCGCCTCTGCCCTATATGCCCATTTAGGTCACCTATTACCATAAGATTATCATTTGCGTGTATCTGACTGATGACATCCGACACTGAGTCAAAGAAGTTATCTTTCTCTTCCAAGGTGTAACCATCATTGGTGGGTGTGTGTACCTGCACAATTCTTGTATTTCTTGTTTTCCCGTAGAGTTGCAATACTATAATCCTTTCAGATACATATTCTATATTCTGTACATGTTTAGCGATATCCGGATGGAGAATAAAACCGACTCCGTGAGTCGCTCTCTGCTCTTTCTTAACACCGCTCCAAAATATGACATAGTTGTTATGAATTTCTTTTGTTATGTTGCCTTTTTTCCTGCAATCTGATATTCCCATTATATCGATCTTATGTTTCATCATGAATTCTACTATTTCTGGTTCTTTATTTGTGAGACCACAAACATTCCATGTTCCGATTTTTGTCGCTTGGCTAGTTTGCACTAACCAGTGAAAACATGTATTTATTTCATGGTATTATCATAATTAAGTTCCTTAACAACAGTTGTGGTCGATCATACCCTACCAAAACTTACCATCTATAACAGCATGCATCTATTTGTGTACTGACATTCCTCTGTGCCATGACAAAAGGCTGTCGATAATCTTCTCACTTTGTCCTCCACTGTGACTCTTCCACAGATCTTTCCAGTGGTCACAGCATTATCCACATGTCCTATTCTCCTAACAGGGCCAAACAATGAAAAGTGTCTCCTTCTGATGTTTGTGATAAGTTGTCTTCAGGTCCTCCTGTTTCAAAATATCTCTGTTACTCTTTGTGGCTGTGCAAGAAATTTTAAGTGCTCTTCTGTAACACCACAGGGGACTGAGTGGTCTCAGGGCATGGCATCCGCATCGAGCGCTGGAGGTCCCGGGTCCAAGCCCCGGTAAAGGCTAGGATTTTTTTTCCACCTGAACTTCTAGTAATTTCCCCTGGTCACTGGGTAGTAAGATCGCATGCCCGTGTGTATTGTTGTGCACGTAAAAAAATCTTTTGGTAATTGAAAATCCAAAAGAGTGGCCCTAACAGCATTGCCCGGGCAAAGTTTGGAGTTAAAAATCTACCAAAAGTATTTTTAGGATCTTCGCCAGGGCTTTGGAGTTCGTGCACTACGCTGAGATTCTTCGGACTTAGGCGTGAGTTAAAAGTAGAACCGAGCACTTACGGGTTACTATCTTAGTGTCCTGATGTTGATCCAATGTTCAAACCTTGAACCTGCAAGACCACATCAATGAGGAATCAAGAAATTGTTCGTCTGGGGGAATACGTGGTACTGAGTCGACGTTTATGGCTTAGGCGTTGCGAACGTTCATCATAATGCCGGGGTGTAGGTTTCCATCCTAGCTGCAGTCTTGCATTGGTTTCGACATTGACACTGAGAGCAATGGCAAACTACTGAAAGTAAAATTTACTGAGAGCCAACAGTGCAGAGAGCAATGGCAAACAACTGAAAGTAGAATTTGCCCAGAAAAACCACAGCAGCCAAAAAAATACAGGGGTTGGTTCTGCAACGTACTGTAAAGGATACGCAACTAACTGGGTTTTTTTTCAACGTGGTATTGAAAGAGTTAAGGACGTAAATTCTTCTTCTTTGTTCGCCTTTTCCCGTGTTTGGGGTAGATATTGGGAAAATACCTAGTTTTTTGCGTCTTTCGGCCAAAAAAAAAACAATACGATTTCAGCAACCTCCTAATTAGTCATATTTTAGGACATGCTTAGGGCAGGGGTCTATAATATCTTCCCCAAATATGGGTCCCGCCCGGGAACCCACACGAGGAGGGTGTAATTTAAGTTCGAGTACAAATGTAGCAAGTCCCTCCCGGAAGTCGACGAAAAGAAAGAATCGACTACCTCCTGGTCACGCAGACACAAACATTTGACAGACGAGAAGGGGCGACCATTTGTGAACTTGTAGTAGGATAGACTTACAGCTGTTGATGGCAACGAAACGAATTAACAAGGTACTGTATCATGTATGTATGTTTAGATGTGGTGTATTTTCACTCTAAGGATTTGATGTATTAGAAATTGTCGACTAGAAGTTAAACGTGTCATTATCATTCGTGTTGCATAATGACAAACTGACTCGCTATGCGGCTATTCACTAACACTGGGCTAATCAATCCCAATAAAAGAATAACTTTACTGATCAATCACTTTATTGTAATCCACAGCCGTACCCGACTTTGTATTGAGTGTACATTAGAAAATTAGTTTGGGCAGCCGTTACTAGTACATGCCCTAATTATAACTTCTTTGGAGGTTGATAATAGAACGGGAATGTCCGGGATTTGCCTGAGTTTGTCATCCACACTGTTCCTTCCAGGATGCGAAGCCAGTGTGGTCAACACACAGTAGTAGCCCGTGTGTGGAAAGAGGGGAGGGTCTTATTATTTTTAATCCAAGTAATACAAAGAAGTTACCTGTGTACTATAAGTCCACGTGTTCAAAATTAATATTACGTTATTCAGGTCAAGTTATAGTATAATCTAACTCTAAAAAGATGACACATTGAAAGAGATGCAGTTGAATGAACACTTGGAATAAACAAACAAGATACTCTTGAGGCTGTAGAAACAGTTCAAACAGCATGTAATAAACATGTAATGTTTGGCACTTAAAGTAGAGAGGCAGAATGACACACTAGACAGAATATTTTTTAAAAAAAATCGAAAGAAGCTGTAGTCTGTAGTTAAGTGTTACCATGCTAGGAATCCAATATTTTACCCCCAAGTGACAATCTCGCCTCACTGTGTCATCATTGGGTACAGAAACTCTAAGGTAAACCTTCACCTGCGACCATTTTGAGTCTACTGACCATGTCTGGCAGGTCGAGGATTTATTGTGTTGCATGACATGAGTGTCTCTTGGGTACCAAGAGAACAGTCTCATGGCTTCATTTCGCTGCTTCCCAGCTGATGTCTGCTGACTGGGAAGAGGGCAAGCATCAGTCATGGTTGAGAGCACAAAGTCCTGATACAGCAAAAACAGCAGGACTCTGTTCCATCTTAGCTGCTGTCATCACCCAGAGTGGATGCTTTCATCTAGCTAATAGACATCCTTCTGGGCTGGTGAAATACCTTATGTAATAATATTACGTGTGTATAGCCAGCTTATTATGACTGACTACTTTCATCAATGACAGGCTGCATTTCTGGTGGTGACTCTTGGCTTTGGTGTCTCTAGCAACTGCCATATGCATTTACTGCTTGCTCATATTTATGGATTGTGCCGGGACAAATGTTTGTTTGTTCACCAGTTTTTCAAATGGGACATTAAGGGATATTTCATTTTGAGTTTCACTACCACATTAACGCAGCAAGTTTAGTATGGGTGACCAGATTTAAGTGAGGGTCAAACCTTGACTAAGACATCCATCTAGGACTGAAACCTTAGATTGGATGCTTTCGTTAGGTCAGCTAGGCAGTATTGATGGCTCCGACATCTGATAGGGTCCTTTCACTAGGTTAACTAGCCACAGATAAATGTACAAGTTTGCATGCTGACAGTGGTGTTAGAATTACATAAAGTACTTGCAGAATGTTTTTTAAAACATTAGTTTACTGTGTTTGACAGGAGTTGCAGGACTTGAAACGTGATCCACCTGCTGGCTGTTCGGCAGGACCTGTGGGAGATGATTGTAAGTAGCCATAGATGTAATCTCGACATTTTCAGCCAGGCCTGTAAACATACATCAGTTATCTGTTAACATTCTCAGCCATGCCTGTAAATATATATCTGTTGTGCATTAACATTTTCAGTGGTGGGTGTAAACATTTATTATTTCTTGTATGTTAACATTCTACGCTGTGGGTGTGTAAATTTATCAGTTAAATTCTCATCTTGGAAGTAGTGATTTGTGTCACGGACGTAAGGAAAGTTACTTCCGGTCACAGACATATAGTGATATAGAAAGCTACTTCCGCTGTGTATAAGGAAATACTTCATATAGGGACCAGCAGGCTCTATGCTGATTTTACTGATTTGCAAGATTCGGCCATACATCCTCGCTTTTCGCTACAGACAACGGCTTATATTGACACAAGCCAAGCTAGCAAGTAAACTTTCAGTGGTAATTCCCCATAGATAAAGTGCTTAGAAACGTTCTGGCACTCATCTAGCAACTTTAGTCAAATTCTCAAAATATTGTTTTATCCGTATAAAACAAGTACAGCTGCATTCGTATTAAAAAACCCTTTCCAACAGTGCCTCTTTCATGCCTCTATGTCAAGTCTTAGCAGAGTTATTGAAGTTTTTGTGGAAAAAAGTTAACAAAGAAAATATAAAAGTGAGAACTTGCTGCCCAGAAATCAGAAGTTTTAGAGTAGTGTTTAAAAACTGCTTTAACTTATAAAGTATTTTAAAAAAACCTAGAAACTATATATTTTTTGATTCAGGGCAACAAGCTTTAACTAAATAAATATACAATTTTTAGTAGTTACGCAATATCAACTAATAATGATTTTAAAATGGTCGCCATTTATCATAATCATCAGTGGATATGTTCTCGTAAACTTTATAACGGTCTTTTAAAGTATTAAAAATAGACCAAAGATAACAGATACTGTTGTGTTCAGGGCAGCAATGTCTAACTGAATAACTGGAAATTTTTAGGTATTACATCATATCGACTAATTATTATTTAAAAATTATCATGAACAAATATTTTAATAATTTTTTTTTTTTTGTTATATGGGAAAACTATTTGCTGTGGGTATATTATATCTATCCAGAGCAAATTTTTTTCCTATATTGATGAAACAATCATGTAAGTCATATGATAATTTTGATTTGATAATTTAAGTCATGCTCTGTGGTCAGTTATTTTTCAATATGGTGTCTAATTTATATTTTTGTTGCTGAATGGTGGAGTCTGAACAGAACAATCAAGCCATCAACATATCTGTGCATTAATCTTTACTGTCTATGTATATGTTAATCTGTTTATAACTACATTAATCACCAATGCCGCTCTTCTCGTTACATGACTAAAAGAAGTTTGTATCTTTCTCACAGGTTTACGTCATGGTAAAAGTCTGAAAAAAAAATGAGAAAAAATTTGTGAAATAATGCATTATACAAATAATGCAGTAGTCATTTAAAAAACAATTTTTTTAATTAATCGTGCAACAATACATCAGAAAAAAGCAACCGTCAAAATGTTTGTATGACTTACCTTTTTTTTCACTCGTCCATGTTTAAAAGCTGACTGTTCTGTAATCACGCAAGCCTAAAAAGGAAAAAGTAACTATAAATAACATATATATATATATATATATATATATATATATACACACACATACAAACAATTCAATATACATTTTAAAAAACAATTTCATTATTTGTGCAACAATACATCAGAGAAAAGCATTAGCCACAAATGTTTGTACGACTTACCTTTTTCACTCGTCCATGTTTAAAAAGCTGACAGTTCTGTAATCATGCAAGCCTGAAAAAGAATGATAAACCTATCCCCTCTTCATGGGTGATAAAAATTCATCAAAATCTCATTTGGAATGTGTGATGCCTCCTGGTTGAATATCCTTTATGCCAAGCATTGGTTCAAACATATGTAGACCGAAAGTTCTACTGAATTGCTGCCTAGGCTCATAATCTTTCTGACAATAGCCCCACAGCACAACATCACAGTTTCAGATATCCAAGCATCAAATTACTACTGTGTGTCAGACAAGGTTCAGATGTCCGACAGTAAAATTGTCCTGCTGTGTGACAGACAAGGTTCAGATGTCCGACAGTAAAATTGTCCTGCTGTGTGACAGACAAGGTTCAGATGTCCGACAGTAAAATTGTCCTGCTGTGTGACAGACAAGGTTCAGATGTCCGACAGTAAAATTGTTCTGCTGTGTGACAGACAAGGTTCAGATGTCCGACAGTAAAATTGTCCTGCTGTGTGACAGACAAGGTTCAGATGTCCGACATTAAAATTGTCCTGCTGTGTGACAGGCAAGGTTCAGATTCCTGCTACCTTTAGTCCCACCTCGTCAGAATGTCGACCATAAGTGAGAGCCATGCCGTTCGAATACTGTCCAGTAGTGGACGAGTAGCTAGAGTTTACAGTAGATGAATGATAAGAAGATTGAGAAGTATAAAATATATAACATTTATCTTGTAACATAAGCTAAGATAAACAGTCATTCTCAACCTTCCTAATGCCACGACCCTTTAATGGGGTTCCTCATGATTTGGTGACCCCCAGCCATAAAATTATTTTCATTGCCACTTTATAACTTCATTTTTTCCAATGGTCTTAGGTGATCCATGTGAAAGGGTTGTTTGACCCCTAAAAGGGTTGAGAACCGCTGCCGTAGAGAATGCCTTATGATGCCATACCGTACAAGACAAACAGAACAGAGTGATATAGAGCATTAGGAAGAACAAAATGGAAAGATAACATAGGGAAACTACAAAACTCGGATGTGAGGCGGCCAGAAGAACAAGAGTTAGAACTACATCACCCTCAGTGCGCAAAATGGTAAAAGAGACAGAAAAAGAAGACAAATTGTGTGGGTGCACTTTATTGTCAGTTGAGTTGTGCCATGTTTCCCAGTAAGTGTTAATTGAGTAACCTGAAAGAGACATTTCTATATATTTCAGTGTATCACTGGGAGGCTATGATTCAGGGGCCTGTAAGTATCACCTGTTTTGTCATTGTTTGAAATTAAGAATGTTAAAAAAAAACATATAAGGATGTTTTTTTGTGTGCATAGTGTGTTAAGTGTTCGATTTTCTTTTTTTTTTTTAAACTTCAAAAGAAAGTATGAAGTATTTTGTCCATAGTTTTGTAGACATTATTTGATTTTCTCCCCGATGATTAGAAATTAAGCAATATAAGAATTAGTTACCTAGCATTGTTGTCAATGGATGTATGGAATAATCGGATATAGATGTTTCTAATGAACAGACAGTCAAAATCATAGCTAGTGTTTTTTTTTTTAAATTATTAATAATATGATTACAGGCACAATTAGGGACGTTTGAGCTGCAGTGCTATCAATAGATTTCTTCAATACCATGGAGCAGGACAGAAAAATACTGTTCTATGTCTGAACATCAAGGACATATTCATGGCATTGTGGTGCTGGGGTGTCTGTGGATTACCTACCTCCCCGGGCAGCAGCTAGAAATGCCCTGTACCAGTTCTAAAGGAAATATGAGTTGTGTTTCTGCCTTCCCCTTTAACACGTAGCTAAGGTGGGGCTCACAGTGTGCTCATTCCCCGCCACCAGATTGCCTGCAGGTTTCGCTGAGCTCTTCATGGCTCTAAGCATGAGTAGTTGGGGCAACTGGATCGTCACGTCCTGAGTCCCTGTGCCTTCATGATAGTTTCCGGTATTCAGGGGGGTTAGCATACTTGTTTCCATTCCTAAGACTGTTCAGCACACCTCTGGCTCCTTCCCTCCGACAGGGGGCAGTACGGTGTGGTGCACCGGGTTTATTATCGAGGTTTGCTCCTCTAGATCCATTGTGTTTTGCCTGGGGATTCGCACCCCCAGTTACCAGGACTACCTCGGGGAGGCTGTGACTCTTCGCCACGCACAATGGTCTTGAGGTAAGAGAGGTTTTGCTAGGTCAAGAGGCTGACACCGCAATGGACGCTCCTTTCGTGAACAGATATTCACTAGACCTAGGGTGAAGTAAGGGGGGGAACCCACTACCCACAACACCAACACTTCTTACCCCCTGCCTCTCGAGGCTCAGTCCCTGAACATCAAGGAAGGTTAACTAGTACAGCATCCTGTCTCAGAAACTCAGATATATTGACCGTATCAAGCACTACAGGAGATTAGAAAGAATACTAGCAGAAGGCGTGTTACCAAGAAAGGAGTGCAGGTGCTGACTAGCATGAAAAAGAGCATGGGATATAAGTGACACTTTGGGTAGTAAAGTGCATCAGCCAGGGGAGCTGGTGAGAGACTGAGTGTCTTTCAGGCAGACTGTGATGAGAGCAACATTTTGCAAAGTACCTGCTACGTGATAATGATGGAGGCGCAGTTAAAACCATACCTGCCTGCTGTTTGATGCCAGAAAAAGAGAAAGTAAATACTTAATTGCAGAGATAAATGCATATAATATGTAAAACACATAAATTCAGTGTAAGACTTTACACTTATTAACCCACCCTCCTTAGGTTAGAGATTACTCTGTAACCATATGGTGCACCAATATAATTGCTGTACCAAAATTCAACATTAAAGTAAATGGGACAAACCTCAAGCAAGTTGATAGGTTTCAGTACTTGGGTACCCTGATAACATCGGATAAAAGATGTATTAAGATAGAAATAGCTCAAGCAAAGACAGCATTTTGCACACACACACACACACAAAGTTTTATTTATTATTCTTTGTCATTTGAGATGAGAAAGAGATTTCTTAAAAGCTGTATAAATCCTATCTTGATATGTAGAAGTGAATCATGGACTTTTGGTAGATTAGTAAAAAAAAAAAAAAAAAAAAATTGGAAGCTGTGGAGATGCGGTTTTATAGACGAATGATGAGAATATCCTGGATAGGGAAGAAGAGTAATAAGAATGTATTGAAAGAAATTGACTCACAAAGACAACTTATTGCACACATCAGAAAGAGACAATCTACATTCTTTGGATATGTGATGGGAAGGAGAAAGTTGGAGGGAGAAAAGAGGCAGAGAAGAAGATGAAGCAGAATGAAAGGTTTTTTTTGGAATTTGTGCGTTTGATTCTCATCCTTGAGTTGTTAATCCTACAGTTAGCAATCCTGGAGAAGGAAAATAAAACATGAATACATAAATAGCTTGACATAGTCTTGCTGGAACTTAAATTTGATCTGTGATGCGAGTGACTGTATGCCTTTGTTACTTGTTATTCGTATCGTCATCCTGGAGCATCAGTTCGGCTAGTTTGTGCTTGGTCCTCTGTTGCAGCAGCTATTTCAGTTTCTCCATGTGTGATATTTTTTAGAAATATATTCAAAATGTGGTTATATTGACTGTCTTCTCCAGCCGGACAGTGCGTATGCCGATGGGGTCTTCTCGTTGTCTATACACTTTCCCACAGACTATCCATTCAAACCGCCAAAGGTAATTTACTATACAGATAAATTGTTACATTACCATTGTTTCCCTGGCGATTAAACCTTTTGCCGGTGACTCATTTCTGTAAATACCGCTTACCTGGCATGGTCATGGTGACTTATCATTCAGAAGCATAGTTAACTCATAGCTATTTTGATATCATAATTTTACCGTGGCTTTAGTGTTAAGATTTTATTGAAGTAACATAGTCATGGTATGCATCACCCAGTACATTTTTTTAAATACCATGGGTTCCTACTTTTTTTTTTCAAAATACCATGGGTTCCTACTTTTTTTTTTTTTTTTCAAAATACCATGGGTTCCTACTTTTTTTTTTTTTTTTTTTTCAAAATACCATGGGTTTCCTACTTTTTTTTTTTTTTTTTTCAAAATACCATGGGTTACTTTTTTTTTTTTTTTTCAAAATACCATGGGGTTCCTACTTTTTTTTTTTTTTTTTTCAAAAAATACCATGGGTTCCTACTTTTTTTTTTTTTTTTTTTTTTCAAAAAATACCATGGGTTCCTACTTTTTTTTTTTTTTTTTCAAAATACCATGGGTTCCTACTTTTTTTTTCCAAAATACAGTGGGTTCCTACTTTTTTTTTTTTTTTCAAATACCATGGGTTCCTACTTTTTTTTTTTTTTTTTTCAAAATACCATGGGTTCCTACTTTTTTTTTTTTTTCAAAATACCATGGGTTCCTACTTTTTTTTTTTTTTTCAAAATACCATGGGTTCCTACTTTTTTTTTTTTTTTTCAAAATACCATGGGTTCCTACTTTTTTTTTTCAAAATTTCCTACTTTTTTTTTTTTTTCAAAATACCATGGGTTCCTACTTTTTTTTTTTTTTTCAAAATACCATGGGTTCCTACTTTTTTTTTTTTTTTTTTTCAAAATACCATGGGTTCCTACTTTTTTTTTCCAAAGAGTTTTTATAATAGTTGGGTTAATTGTAGGACTTATCAGTTTTGTTTGTGAAAAGGTAAGATAATCAGCCTGGGGTACTTTGTGAGGAACCATAGTTACGGAATAATCTGTATATATAGGTACTTTAGTCAAATTTTTAAAATGCCCTCAACACCAATAAAACCAGCACAGTTAGATAGCTGTAAACAATCTCTTTCCAATGGTACATCATTTAGGCTTGTATGTCATTTCTGAGCTGAGATATGTAGGTTTTTGTGGAGATGAGATGTAAAAAAAAAACAGCTGCTAAAACTTGTGTCTGAGAAACAAGAAGTTTTCTCTGCGCAACCAAACTGCGCAACTTTCGTTTTGGCTTTGTTTTCATTGGACAAGATGGCAGACAATTTTTCTCAGACACAGCCACATATTAGCGATTGCCTGAAAAATGTCACTGTACATCTAAACAGCCACAGACAAGAAAGAAATTGTATACACAAATGTAAAATTGAACGGAGAATTCAATTATAACTAGCATTACCATGTCTGGTAATGTTTAAGGCCTAAAGCTAACTTTGAATAAAAAAATTATACTTACCGCTATTTTCAATCAAACTGATGTAACAGAAAAACAGAGGACGTCAGGCTGTCGTAGACATGCGCTGTTAATCGGATCCGTTCCCGCCATTTTCAGCTGTTTATAGCTGGTGAAAATCACACCAATCGCAAAATTTCATGAGAGATTAGGACCCATCCCGAAACCCCAGACGACATTTCTCAAACAAGTTTTGAACGGTTTCCATGGTAATGGAAATTGCCAAAAAGACCACAAATTGTCAAAACTGTAGTCGCTAGTATATAAAGTATTACATTACAGAATCTGTTTTGACTATGGCACACCGTCACAGAATATGGGATGGTTGAAATATACGTTCATATAATGAATCTGTTGTAGTTGAAATGTATCGTTACAGATTCTGTTTTTGTTGAAATACACCACCACATAATGTTATAGTTGAAATATACCATCACAGAATATGCTTTTGTTGAAGCACACACACACCATCACAGAATCTTTTATAGTTGAAGCACACACACACCATCACAGAACCTTTTATAGTTGAAGCACACACACACCATCACAGAACCTTTTATAGTTGAAGCCCACACACACCATCACAGAACCTTTTATACTTGAAGCACACACACACCATCACAGAACCTTTTATAGTTGAAGCACACACACACACACCATCACAGAACCTTTTATAGTTGAAGCCCACACACACCATCACAGAACCTTTTATAGTTGAAGCCCACACACACCATCACAGAACCTTTTATAGTTGAAGCACACACACACACCATCACAGAACCTTTTATAGTTGAAGCACACACACACCATCACAGAACCTTTTATAGTTGAAGCACACACATACACCACTGCAGAATCTGTTATAGTTGAAGCACACATACACCACTGCAGAATCTGTTATAGTTGAAGCACACACACACCACTGCAGAATCTGTTATAGTTGAAGCACACACACACCACTGCAGAATCTGTTATAGTTGAAGCACACATACACAACTGCAGAATCTGTTATAGTTGAAGCACACATACACCACTGCAGAACCTTTTATAGTTGAAGCACACATACACCACTGCAGAATCTGTTATAGTTGAAGCACACATACACCACTGCAGAATCTGTTATAGTTGAAGCCCACACACACCATCACAGAACCTTTTATAGTTGAAGCACACACACACACACCACTGCAGAATCTGTTATAGTTGAAGCACACATACACCACTGCAGAATCTGTTATAGTTGAAGCACACATACACCACTGCAGAATCTGTTATAGTTGAAGCACACATACACCACTGCATAATCTGTTATAGTTGAAGCACACATACACCACTGCAGAATCTGTTATAGTTGAAGCCCACACACACCATCACAGAACCTTTTATAGTTGAAGCACACACACACACCACTGCAGAATCTGTTATAATTGAAGCACATACATCACAGAATTTGTTGTATTTACCACCACATAATCTGTTATAGTTGAAATATACTTGCACAGACTGCATTCATGTTCTGACGTAAACAGTGTATCCTTATGTCAGATCTTGATATGTTTATACTCTCTCAGGTAACATTCACAACCAAGATCTACCATCCCAACATTCACAGCAATGGCAGCATATGCTTAGACATACTCAGATCTCAGTGGTCTCCGGCGTTGACAATATCTAAAGGTGAGTGAGGTGCTACCGCATTGCCGCCGTCTGCATAAAGGATGTGTGGTCTTGTCACTGTGCCTGGTGTATGGTATTGGTTGTGGTGATTGATCACAGCTTCCCGTCTCATATGTTGTCAGTAATTGGGTTCTTCTTCGCATCCACTGGTTGTGCTTTAACGTCTGGACTTGAGTCTTTTTCCAGAAGTTGAGTCAGCACATCTAGATCTGTGTTATTTGTTTACAGACTTTTGGTTTCTTACCTTTCAGGGAGCCGCCGTGGTCTAGCGGCTAGAAGCTCGGCTGCGGGTCGGAAGGTAATCGGTTCGCTTACTGTTAAGGATAGGATGTTTTTCTTTTTAAAAAATGACCATGGCTCCCCGGGCAACCCAACCTGGGGCGAGTACCAGGTAAGCCCTAAGAAGTAACGGCGACCAGCATGGTGCTGACCACATCACCAGTGGAAGTGCTGCTGGTCTGTAAATTATAGATCTAGCCCTATATACCCAATAAGCTTTAAAGGCGTGGAAAAGGGTCCTTTACCTTTACTTTTACCTCTTAGGTAGATGAACCCCAGTTTCATAGGACCCCCCCCCCCCCAATTAGTCGACTCTAATGACATGCTTGTTAGGGGGACGATGGATCTCTCATCCTCCCCCGCCACCCCCTAAAACAGTGGGGCCTTGAACGCACACAGATCAGTCTATTTCTGGTTCAGATTTGTCTTCATACTTTGATGTTAAAACAGCTTCACTGCTCCCGGTGTGAGTTCCTGGGTTTTATTTGAAAGGGGGGGGGGGTATACCCACTGCCCTATAATGAGTATGTTAAAAAAGACCACCTGGTTCAGGATGTGCTGAAACCAGGTGTGTGAGGCTGAAAGGTGCAGATATCAAAGCCTGACTGTGAACAGTGCAACATAACAGAAGAAGAATAGAATCATCTCTCATATCTTACCGTCTCTGTTCTGCTCACTTTTGATATCTGTTGCTAGTTTCTAATCAACTCCTCATAACACCTCAGAGAATTTGGATTATCTACTTCTGAAATAAATAATAGTTACAGTTAGCTGTACTTAAATATAGAATGGTAGAAGAAAAAGACAAAACATTCTCATTATACTCTTTTGAAATGAATATAAATCAGTCCAGTGACCACATGAATCAGCTGTACCTGTTGGCTCTGACCATTCTTCTGTGTTTGTGTAAACCCCCCCCCCCCCCCCTTTTTTTTTTTTTAAAAGTCAATAATTCCAACGTGTGGACTTAGGTTACACTTTGGACAGTAAGTTTGAATAAAGGTCTTCCTCCCACTTCATCTCCCACTCCTCAGCTTATGTCCTGTGTTTACAACAAGAGCTTGGTAATCTTAGCTTTAGCTTCATAGAAAATGGGTCACCCTGCAGTTACTCTGAGCAAACAGGTCGAACAGTAGTTACCGTGCTCCAAAAAAAAAAAAACACACACACAGAGTGTCCATCACTGTCCCTTGTGAAACAGTTAACACAGACTGCATTCTTAGCATATTCACCAGCACATGTGCATTAAAAGCTTCAGGCAGCCATCAGAAATGTCAACTCAGACAGTCTGACATTAGAAATGCAGTTTATCATCGGCGGTAGCAGCAGCTGCACTCAAGATCAATTCCAAATGAAATCTACAGCTCACTGTGTCCTGCCATGCTCTCAGCTCAATAGCTGGGTGACAAAACTATATCCTTTCAGTATTCAAATGGAGAAAAATGCAACGGCCACCATATATCGAAAGCAATAATTTGCCACGGCTAAAAAACAAAAGTACCTAACCTCCATTTAGACAGGAGCAAGATGTGCACTTGAAGTTTTGAGTTTATTCATACATCATTGTGGCTTAAATTCTCATGTAATTAAATATCTTTTTATATAAACTTTGAAATACATTCTCACTTAAAATATCACATTGTTAAATGTTTTTATAATGTGCGCCCTAAACCACACACATGCACAAGCTCATTAATTGTGACTTGAAATTCTTATCCGATTGAATTTCTCTAACATCGTTGCTGACTGATCCAATCACACTCTTTCCTCTGTCCCCAGTTCTGATTTCAATAACATCATTGCTGACAGACCCCAACCCGGATGACCCGCTTGTTCCTGAGATTGCCAGAATGTATAAAACAAATAGGACCAGGTATGAAGAGCTTGCAAAAGAATGGACAAGAAAATTTGCCAGTTCTTGACTGGCCTAGTGGTTTTATTTTTTTCTTTAGTAAATTTTACTAATTGTTCTTTCTGCTGGCTTGAAATTAAATGTTCTTAATGGTGTCAGTAATATTTTAAACATCTTTCTTTGTTGATTTGTTTAATATCTTCTTTTCCTGTTGCCTTTTATCATCCGGTGGATCGTTACGCCTCAGTTTGTGTCTCTAGCCTACGCCGGCTGTGTTAGCTCCTGCTATGTCATTCATAATGCTGGTGGGTCTTGCTGGTCATGCTCACCATCGCCATGGGCTGTGAGTCCTATGCCTCCTTATAGCACAATATGATACTGTGGTCTGGAAGGAGAGAGGTGCCAGTCATATCATTCATCTCTTGTCTGTAGTTCCTGTGTGTTTTTAGGTCTCCCTGTATTTGTTTTACATTGTGGTCGCCAGAGAAGAGGCCTGGTTATACAAGCAGAATTCTGTCAATGGAGCATACTGCTTCAACCCATCTCATGCTAGATTTTTCTGTTCTTTGTTGGCGCTTATAGTTCCTTTCATGTCTTTTCTATCTTAAGAATCTTGTCTCATACTTTCCTGTGTGTTTTTATCTCACTCTGTATTTATCTTGCCTTATGGATTTCAGAGTAAAGACATTCTCATCTATTGAAGTACTATAATTGTTTCCTATCTTGGTGATTCTGTCATACCAGTTTTGTCTGTTTCAATTCATCACAACAATCTGTTAATGAATGGATATTGGTTTAGTGATTATTTTTTCAGTTGTCCACCTCTGATCCATAAAACAGTACAATGTTACAGATGATTACTTCCTTTTGCTCCCATCAACCAACATAATTGTATTGTTTATTTGGACTGGATATGATTATATTTAATCAAAGCAGCAGCTGAGTGGATGAGGTGTGGTGTTCACAATTAGCCGTAACTTCAGTAGGGTTAGTATTGTGTGATTGGGTTCTGTTGCATGTCATGGCCCCGAGTATATAAGTTTTGTGGATATAATTTCTTCCTCTTTTCCTGTGTTCACCGGCTGTAAGCTCTAGCAGAAAGTCCTGGTTATTTATCCATTTGGACTTATGGCTTCGTGCCAGGGCCTGAGTTTTGCGTGTACATCCATTTTATTGGCTTGAGTGCAGTTGGTTGATCCTTGCCGCTCGGGCAGATATACCCCCGACTTCAAAAGCTCCCAATATTTTTCTGGTGCCATTGTGAACAGAAGACAGTGGCCCAGGGATCAGCCGTCTCTGACAACATACAAGACACATATCAAAGAGATCATTATGTCCCTTTGTAGGTATTGACGCTAAGCTAGGTAGGATGTCTAAGAAAACGATTTACCCTTAAAAGAGCTCGGTTATATCATCGCTGAACAAGCTCCCTGCATTCCACTAAAGAATAAATCTAGGACCAGTTTTTTTAATGAGAATTCTGGGCAAAAGGGTACGACCAAAAAATAACGTATTCGGATATTTGTAGAGGAAAAGTAACAGTATTTTGATACACACTCTAATAAAGAACTAAGTTGTTACCTAAAAGATATGAAATAAAAAGCAAATCATTCTTTCAGTATTACCTGCTACAGTCTCTGTGTACTTTTTGTGTTTGCTAGCAGTAACATGGACAGTAGATGTGACTGACATGCAACACAGAACCTTTGCTAGCAGTAACGTGGACAGTAGATGCGACTGACATACAACACAAAACCTTTGCTAGCAGTAACATGGACAGTAGATGCGACTGACATGCAACACAGAACCTTTGCTAGCAGTAACATGGACAGTAGATGCGACTGACATGCAACACAGAACCCAAAGATGCCTTGTTTATTTGTGTTTAGTGAGATTTACTAATGGCATACCTTTTAATACTGTAAATATGTAATTTGTAAAAATTATATTTTGCTGTTATTATCTATGGTTAAAAAAAATAATATACCTTGACTTATGGGAAAATGCTTTTTTTTAAAATTTTTATTGTTGATGTTATTACTTAATAGCTGAAAGTTTTCTGCGTGTGTTGTGTAATCTACACAGAGCTTTGACACTTCTGCATTTACCCTTCAGAGGGTGGTCGGCACACTAAGTTGTGCAACACATCTAGGCTGCAATATCTGGGAATATTCAAAGTATTGTGATGTCGGTTCTTGAACCAACTCAAATGCAAGAAGTTTGAAAAATGGACCAACATCATGGCACACGAGTAGTAACCCATAAGTGCTCCGTTCTTCTTCTAACTCAAGTCTGAGTCTGAAGAAGCTCAGCACAGTGCACCAGCGAGGATCCTGAAATACTTAGGGTAGATTTTTAACTCCAAAATATTGCCCAGGCAGCGCCGTTAGGCTACTCTTTTCCATTTCTAACTGCCATACATTTTTTTTACGCGGGCAAAAATATACACCGGCGTCTGATCTTACTACCCAGAGACCAGGGGGAATAACTATAAATCCAAGTCCACATGACAAAATCCCAGACCTTACCAGGGATTGAACTCAGAACCTCCAGCACTTGAGGCGGACACTTCACCTCGAGACCATATAGCCCCCCCCCCCCCCCCCCAAATGCAAGAAGTAAAAGTGTACATTGATTGCTCCTTTGTTTTTTGCCCGGGAAATATTAGTTTCTACCCTGTGTGGGTTTCGGAGACACATTATGGGGGCAAACAAGAATATACCCACTGCCTCCCCAACAATCATGGCGTAAGAGTGGACTGATTAGGAGCTTCTTTCAAAGTCAAGAGTGCATCTGCCTGAGAGGCAAGGAACCAACAGTCTGCATACACTTGCATGTCAAATCTGTAAAATGGATGTGCATGCACCACTCAGGTTCTGGAACAAGACTAAACTCAACAGGTGGACAGACAACCAGAACTTTTTGCTGGAGTTTACTTTTGGTGAAGAAGTTGCTTCTGAGTTTACTGCAGCCAGATTGAAGGACAATGTCAGGGGTCATCTTTGGCATCAGCTGTACTGGAAATCAGGTCAGCAACTTACCAGGAGCCTTGAACAGCTTCACTCATCTTGAAGAGAAAAAGACATTCTTAAAGCAGTGTGGAGAGAAGGCAGCATTATATCTCAGAGCTTTGAAGAGACAAAGACATTCTTAAAGCAGTGTGGAGAGAAGGCAGCATTATATCTTAGAGCTTTGAAGAGACAAAGACATTCTTAAAGCAGTGTGGAGAGAAGGCAGCATTATATCTCAGAGCTTTGAAGAGACAAAGACATTCTTAAAGCAGTGTGGAGAGAAGACAGCATTACAGTTCAGAGCAATATGGTATCAGATACAGGGCACAGTATACTCAGGAGTCTCATTGACCCAGGTACATGCAGTTGTGCCGCACAAAAGCAGACTAGAGAGCATGTTTCATAGAACTGCCCAGACCTTTCCAGTCCGAGATGAGATCTGGCTCACAGGAGGAACCCTGCAAGACAAAACTATAGGATATTGGTGAAGACCTCATGTTTATCATTCTGTTGTGTGACCCATGCTGGAGTAGATGCATAGCAGATTTGACCACTGAAGAACTTGTGCCTGAAACTTTCTCTTGTTGACTTGTGCAGGTCTAGAAAAACATGTTACACACAGATACTACTTGAAAGTCAAGAGGATCGATTTTATTGCACCAGGTTTTATCCCATATGGCTCTGTTCTGCAGAACAGCCTGTTGAAAGTGTCACACAAAGCATGAACTCCATAGCTCCGACGAAGATTCCCGGGGATATCTGAGAAATATGCACTCATAAACTGAACGGCACCACCGTGACATAAACCCACGACAAGCAAACTGCTTGACCATATCGCCACGAAGACCCCCTTTCATAGATACTACTTGAAACTTAGCTTTAGATTCCTATTTCTGTGTGGGTTCCAGGGCCCCATTTTTTGGGTTTGAAAAAAAAGGGATACACCCACTGGCCCCTAACAAGCATATCATAGGAGGTGGCTAATTAGGGGTGTTCCCTTGTAAGTTGGAGTGCAACTGCCTGAAAAACAAGGAACCACCAGTCTGCATACTATTATGCCAGATGTGTAGAATGGATGTGCACACAAAATTCAAAATCTGGAATAGGACCAGGGTTTGAGAAGTGGATGAATAAGAACTTCCGTTGGAGTTAACAGCCGATAAACTGAAGAAGACGAGAAGATTCCTGTGTCGAGAGATGTAAATTAATTTTTACTCTGGCGGAAAGTTCTGGTGGTTCGTCCACTTCTGGACTGGAGTCCTGTTCCAGAAACTGAGTGTTGCTTGCACATCCGTTTCACAGATGTGACTCATTTTGCCATTTTTTTTAAATGTTCAGACCTGATGAGAAGAACTCACTAGTACCCTAAGAAATGGTTCTTCTTATCAGAAATTCCTCTTATCCAGGTCAACCAAGATAATTGCCTGGGATAAACAAACATGTTCTTCACAACAGAATTCTGTCACATCCGTCATCGCCTTAGCGGTCTGCACTGTACTAATGTTTAAAAAACAAAAAACATTACCTGTCAAACTACTGCAATGCCACCCACCCTCTCTTGCATCTTCAAGGGGAAAAAAAACTAATTAGCAGGAAAAGATATTTATTTCATGGATATATCAAAGATCACAGCCTAGGTCAGCAGGTAACAAAATTTGAGCAATGATTTAGACACAGAGTGTTTACACAAATCTGCCACTGAACATCTAAACCAGTCAATAGACCCCTCATTAAACAGGTGGCATGGGGGCTGAGTGACCTCTGAGTGAGGTATGGTGTCCGCCTCGAGTGCTGGGGGTCCTGGGTTCAAGACCGTGAAGGCTGAGATTTTGTTACTTGGACTTCTAGTAATTTCCCCTGGTCTCTCTGGGTATTAAGATCGGATTCCAGTATCTTCTTCTTCTGCCGATCATAGGCCCTCAACCAACTCACGCTAAGTCGTTCTATCCTTCGCCATTGCATGGAGCTCTCCCCATGTCCTCCCAGTCTTTCTAACCTCGTTCTCCAGCTCTCTTCTCCATGTGTTTTTTGGCCTTCCTTTATTCCTATGCCCCTGTGG